TTTTTATTATAAATTATATTTTAAAATAAATTATCATCTAAAAATATATATTAGATATTAAAAACATGTTTATATCATAAATAAATTAAACTTGGTTTTTATAAAATTTAACATTTATTTTTATATTTTTATTAGTGTTAAATTATTTTAAAGTAGGTCTTTAGGATTATAATTCTAACCAAATATTTGAAAAAATGTTTACGACAGATAAATTATAATATAATCTAGTCGGACCTAATTATTTTTATTTTTAATTATAATCATAAATATAAAACCTTGTAAAAAATAATTATGATATATTTATATTTTTAAAAATTATATGTAAAATTTTTAATACTATAAATATACGAATAAATATTGTCTCAACTATCTAAAATTTCTGGATCCATCACTGACTATAAATATACGAATAAATATTGCCCCTACTATCTAAAATTTTTGGATCCGTCACCGCATATAATGTCTTGATTCTAGAGCTATTTGGCTCTCTTTGCAAAACATGGCATCAATATTACACAATTAAGAAATTTGCAAAACTTCTCTCGGCTTGCTATGATGGGAATAGGAATATGCCCATAGCTCACAATTTTAGAAACTTTCTTATTGTATTAACAAATGTGTTACTAATACTCTTCTAAATAAAAGAAAATTAATATTTTCTTCTAAGTTTAATTGATATGCTAACAGTTCATATTTTATATAAAATAATTTAATAAAAAAATTACGTACAAAGTTGAATTTTTTTTTTTTGAATTGTGAATAGATATAATTATTAACAAATTAATGTAAGTGAAATTATTAACATTTCATAAAGTTTTTTTTATCAAATTAATGTAAGTGAAATTTTATATTTTATGCGTGAAAAATCTATTACATTTACATAAATTAATAAAAAAAATTCAAATAGAAAAAAAAAATTCAATTCATGTAATATATGTTGAACTTTATTTAAAGTAATATTTTGAGTATGATTTTTGTGTATTAAAAAAACAAAATCACTAGAAAAACACAGCATTGAGTCAAAAATATTTAGTTCAAATAAAATCGACTTATAAAAATCAATTTAGTTTAATTAAATATTATGATCATAATTTATAATTAAATAATATTAGGTGTCACAAAGTTATAATTTATATAATCAATACTGTCTATAATACGATCATAATTTTAAAAATATTTAAAGAAAAAAATTATTCTTAATAAAATACTATAAATGAAAATTTAAAAAAAAATTGTTAGTTTTAATTTTATTATTTTTATAATTATTTATAAACATTTTATTTTAATTTTAATTTAAATAATTAAAAAATTTAAATATATTTTATATTTAGATATCTAATTATAGAAAAAATGGATTTGATATAAAAGTTTATTGTAAAAAAAATTAGATTAGCTTTAAGGTTATACTTAAATAAGATAAGTGGACATAAAGATTGGATCATATGGTAGGCTTTATAGTTTGAAATTTATATGGACAAATAATTTTATTATTTTATTAAATATTGTATCATTATATTTGAGAGGAATTTATCCTCCAATCAACATAGGAATATTGACAAAATCATGATGTAATTTTAAAAATAAATTAAATCTTATTGTACTTGATATGTAAGATTATTTAGGATAATTAATATAAAAAAATACATAAAGGGATAACATTTTGTGATGTGACAGTGATAACAAAATACATGTGTGGGAGAGATTGAAGGAGTTGGCAGTGACATTATTCTTCAAAGAGTTATTCTGTAATCAGGAAGGGTTTTGGGGGGTTTAGGTGGTGCCAATGTCTCTATCTTGTCGTTTGATGGTCGAACTTCATTGTTAATGTCGATTAGTATGGAGGAAATTCATAAAGCACTGATGAGTATGAAAGGGTACAAGGCCCCTTGGCCAGATGGGTTTCAACCTATCTTTTTTAAGATGTTCTTACATGTGATTGTGGATGATGTGTGAAAGCTGGTCGGTTAGGCATTTCAAACAGGAGCCTTCGATGTGCAACTTGTGGAAGCACTTGTGGTTTTTATACAAGGATAAGGGTTTTTAGACCTATATTATTGTATAACATGGTATATAAGTTTTTAGTTAATAGATTGAGACCGTTCCTTTCAGATATGGTTAGTCCACTCCAAAGTAGTTTTGTCCTCGAAAGAGGTATCATGGATAATGCAATTGTGTTGCAGGAAGTAATGCATTGGATGAATAGAACCAAGAGAGATAGAGAGAGAGAGGAACATGATCATGAAGTTGGACTTATAGAAGGCATATAATAGGGTAGATTTGCAATTTCTTAAACAAACGTTGAGGCTTTTTGAATTTTAGGAGGTCATCGTGTCTCTCATAATGCATGGAGTAACACCTACATCTATATTCTTGTTGTTGAATGGTAGTAAAATTGAATTGTTCTCACCTAAGAGGGTCTGTGGCAAGAGGATCCACTTTCTCCATATCTTTTTGTTTTGTGTACGGAGAGATTGGGTGTCATGATCATGAATGAGGTGATAGAAGGTGTTGGTTGCCCATTCAGATTTCACAGGGAGGGTTGATGGTGTCACATTTGTTTTTTACTTATGATGTTTCATTGTTTACTAAAGCTAAATCATCCCAAGCAAGGCTTATTACCAAGGTATTAAAGGAATTTTGTGAACTTTCAGAATTGAAAGCAAGTTTGGACAAGTCACAGGCCTTTACGGCCACGGTTATGCCTAGAAGTAGGGTTGATAAACTATCAAATATGATGAACATTGATAGCGATGCCAAGTCACTATCAAAAGTAAACTAGATTTCTCTTAAAAATTTGTAATATAAGAAACAACCTAGGTTATTCTTTACAAAGACACAACCACATTTAATGCATATTTTATCACACAAAATTAGCAAGGGGATTTTTAATATTTTGAACAATACTCAATCAATTAAATAAAGAATTAAGAATCAAAAATT